TGGATTCATGATCTGACATGGGACTAGTAAAAAGACAGAAAATAGTCATAGGATTTGAAAAGACATTTGATTTGAATAGATATTTCTCCAAAGGGGATGCACAGATGTCCAATAAGGACATGAAAAGATGTTCGGCATCGTTGGTCAATAGCAAAAAGCAAATCAAAATCACAACGTGATACCAATTTATACTAGGATGACTATAGTAAAATTTAAAAAGAAAAATATTAAGTGTTGGTGAAGGTGCAGAGAAATAGGAATCCTTGTACGTTGCTTCTGGGAATGTAAAATGGTTCAGCTGCTGTGGAAAATGGTCGTTCCTCAATAAGTTAAACATAGAGTTACCATAGAACCTAGCATTTCCACTCCTTAGTATATATACAGAATAATTGAAGACATATGTCAATGTGGAAACTTGTACACAAATGTTTTAAAAGCATCATTATTCATAATAGCCAAAAGATGGAATCAACTCAAGTGGCCATTCAGGGATAAATGAATAAACAAATTGTATTATATGCACACAGAGGAATATTATTCAGCCATAAAAAGGTTGAAGTACTGATATATGCTGTAACTTGAAAGAAGTTTAGAAACATGCTAAGTGAAAGAAGCCAGACACAAAGGTCATAAATGGTGTAATTCCTTTTATATGCTATATCCAAAATAGGCAAATCCAAAGAGACAGAAAGCAGACTAGAGTTTACCAGGAAATGAAGGTTGGGAAGTAATGAGTGATTATTTAGTAAGTATGAAGTGTTTTTATGGGGTGCTGAAAAAGTTTTGAAACTAAAGAGATATGGTGGTTGCACAGCATTGTGAGTACATAGTGTTAATACCACTAAATTGTATTTTTAAATGGTTAATTGTATGTTAAGTGTATTTTGTGGGATTCATGAATATATTTACATTTTTTGCTTCTAGAGACAAAAGTTTTAAAGTGCAAGGACTGATGATACCAAAATAGGATGACCATATTTGATGTGACAATCTCAGTGTCTAGTTATCTCTCCAAATTCATTTTTCATTCATCTCTTTGCTAAGGACAATTTGTTCTTAACACAAAATATTTTACCTGAAAATACTGCAGTGTTTGCTAAGATAGAAACTTTTTTATAAACAGTATATTATCTTTCAGGAAGCCCATAAAAGGCCCAGTTGCTCTGGAATGAATAAAGCTGATGAGGAACAAAAGATATTCTTAGAATATACAATTAGGTAGCAGTTTGTTTTTCCTGGGCGTACCATTCTGTCAGGCTACCAGTTCCTTTTTTAAAAAATATTTCTTTATTGAGATGAAATTCATGTACCATAAAATTAACCATTTTATAATGAATGATTCCAACGTTGTAAATCAGCTATACTTCAGTTTTTAAAAAGTGAATGATTCATTGGCATTTAGTGCAGTAGCACTCTTGTGCAGCGACCAGCTCTGTGTCATTCCAAATGTTTTCATCACCCCAAAAGGGAATCCCATACCTGTGAAACACATCCTTGCCGGCACTTGTTTTCTACTTTTTTGATTATAGCCAGCCTGATGGGTGTGAAATGGTAGCTCATTGTGGTTTTGGTTTTTTTTTTTAATCACAAATTTTTTTAAGTGAAAGTACTGGGGATTGAACCTAGGACCTCGTCATGCATGCTAAGCATGCGTTCCATCACTGAGCTGTACCCACACCCTTCATTGTGGTTTTGATTTGCATTTCCCTAAATGGCTGAAGAAATTGAATATCTTTATGTGCCTGTTGACCATTTGTATTCTTTGGAGAAATGTCTATTCAAATCTTTTCCTTTTCTTTTTTTAAAATTGGGTTGTCTTTTAGTTGTTGCGTTTTGTTAAGTGTTCTTTATGTATTATGGGCACTTTATAACCCTTATCAGATATATGATTTGCAAATATTTCTCCTGTTCTGTAGGTTGTCTTTCCCTTTGTTGATAGTATCTTTTTTGATACACAGAAGTTTTAAAATTTGGTGAAGTCTAGTTGATCTATTTTTTCTTTTGTTGCCCATACTGTCAGTGTCATATCTAAGACTCCATTGCCAAATTCAAGGTCATGAAGATTTTCCCTTATTTTTCTTCTAAGAGTTTTATGGTTTTATGGTTTTAGCTCTATACCATTGATCCATTTTGGTACAGGTTCTGTGTATAGTATGAGGTATGGGCTCAGCTTCATTCTTTTGCATATAGATATTCCGTTTTCCCAGCAGCATTTTTTGAGGAGATTCTTCTTTCCCCATGAAATTGTCCTGACACCCTGGTTGAAAAATCCATCTGTCATTAATATGTGGGTTTATTTCTCTGCACTCAATTCTGTTCCTACCATTTGCTTTTGTATGACTGAACTTATTTTTCTCCCTTTGGTGACAGGATCATGGGGTTGATAGCACCATTTTCCAGAATCCTAAAAAGCTTCACCTAACTATTGGAATGTTGGTGCTTTTGAGTGAACAAGAGATCCAGCAGACATGTGAGATGCTACAGCAGTGTAAAACGGAATTCATTGAGTGAGTAATCCACCGGAGTAGAGAAGGCTGGTTACCCTATATTAGCTTCTTTTTAGTATCACAGGCTTGTTTTTGGACTAGGGAGCTGGGTGACATGGGAACAAGGTTTGTTGACTCACCCATTTGTAACACTTAATGTTGGATTATTGTCTGAAAGATTTAAAGTGGGATTTAAAGCATGTATTTACAAATTTGTATGGAAAGATTCTAAATTAAATCGTACTAGTTCAATAGGCAAATTTTGTTCTTTAACAGGGCATCCCATTCTTTTTTCTTTTTTAAACATTTTTTATTTATTTATAATCATTTTACAATGTTGTATCAAATTCCAGTGTAGAGCACAATTTTTCAGTTAATACATGAACGTAAAAATATGGAACGCTTCACGAATTTGCGTGTCATCCTTGCGCAGGGGCCATGCTAATCTTCTCTGTATTGTTCCAATTTTAGTTTTATGTGCTGCCGAAGCGAGCACAGGACATCCCATTCTTCTCTTCAAAAGGAAATTCTCTTCATTATCTAGAAGGGTGTAGATACTATATTAGTTTTCTTTGCTGTTGTAACATATTACTGTAAGCTTGGTGGCTTAAAACAACACAAATTTATAATCTCACAGTTCTGTGAGGCAAAAATCTGATACGGGTTTCACTGGGCTTAAATCAAGATTTTGGCAGGGTTGTGTTCCTTTTTGGAGGCTCCAGGGGAGAGTCCATTTCCTTGCCTTTCAAGTCCTGCCTCTAGAGGCCACCGAATTTCGTTGGCTAGTAGCCCCCTTCCTCCATCTTTAACGCTAATATGTTGCATCTGTCTGACCCTCACTCTGTTTTTACTTCTCTGGCCACAGCAGGACAGGTTCTCTGCTTTTATGGATGCATGTGACTTAACTGAGTGCACCCTGATAATCCAGAATAATCTGCCCACCTCAAATTCTTTAACCTTATCACATTTTCAAAAGCCTTTTTGCTAGGTAAGGTAGTATATTTACAAATTCCAGAGAATAGGATGTGGGCATCTTTGGAGGGCTGTTATTCTGCTTACCACCTTAACTCAAACATTATAACATATTTCCCGAGGGGAGTATTCATTATATTTCAGAAATGCAGGCTTTAATTTTCTTTTTTTAATACAGGTATTTTTGTTTGAGTCAGTAAGGATACCAGAAGCTGTGCAAACAATCTGTTTTGGCTCAGGGAAAGCATTGCTGTTCCAGGAGCAGAGTTGTTACTCTTATTACCGTAAGATTTTAATTTACACGTACCTTTGACCTAACAGCTCTATTTCAGAGGGTCATCTCTCCCTGCCAGCCCCTTTACGCCTTTATCAGAGGATTGATGCAGAACGAGAGGAATTTGAAAATTAACTAATTTAAGTAGTTTTATTTTTTACTTAGTTATAATATACAGGTCCCATACTTTCTGACAAGGCCTTATAGAAATGGGTTATTGATTCATTGGATAAAACAAGGTAAAAGGATTTAAATTTTTTCTCTAATTGTGTTGCATATTAAACTATAATACAATGACTAATTTGTGGACCAGTTCTCTTTCTCCTTTAGTTGTTTTGAAGACAAAATATTTTTCTTGAGCAAAATCATAAACTGATTGGGTTTGTAGTTGCCTGTTCTTTCTGAATCTCATACAGCAAAGGATACTTCTTTGCCTTGTTCTTTTTCTTAGTTATGATGAGCATAACTATTTTCTATCTTACCTAAAATTAAAAATAATTTGGTGTTCATAATTAGATATTTACATTTTTTCCTTGCATAAAATGAAACTTTATGCTTTACCTTACAAAGCAGAGCAATTTTACCTTGTTTAAAAATCAGTTCTGATACTTTAACTTATTCCCAGATCACTTTTTGCTAAGCCAAACTGAAAGCAGCTGCATATTTTTTGGCTGCCATAAGGATAATCCTGCTAAGAAAAAAAATTAAAGGCAGATAAAACATTTGTTTAGAGAAGTATTTGTTTTTTTACCTTATGAAAATCAGGTCACAGGATTTTAATCACTGAAGCTTTATCCTGAGCTATGTGAGGATTTAGCTGAGTTCCTTCCATGTCTCTTGGTGCCTTTTGTGACTAAATGCCAAATCTGAACCTTTTAAGCATGTCAGGGTTGGTGAGCATAGGGAATGAAGAGCAGCCTTAATAGTTCCTAAGAATTTTGACATGACAGGATGAAAACAGTAATTGTAGTTTCTCAAATTCAGCAAAGCTTTTGAAATAGGACACGTTACCCTGCCAGAAATCTGCAGTGCAGGCAAAAATTTTTCGAAGATGCTCTTTTCAAAAAGCTGGAAAGATTTGAAACCAGCAAGTAAAGCAAGCCTCCCCAACCCTCTTCTCTCACCTTCCCCTCTGCTACACACATTTAAAAAGTGTATAATGCAAAATTAATTTACCTCTGAGAAGGGGGATGAGACTCAGAATTGGTTGTTTAGGTTGGCTAAAAGTGCCTGGTTTCCCTAAAAGGAAGAAATGTCTCAAAAAAAAAAAAGATATTTATCATAAAGCCCTATGGTAAAATGTATCATTTAACCTCTCTTTCTTCCTTATTCTTTTTTTTTAATACATTGTTTTAATATAATTATTTTGCTTTTTTTGTTGTTGTTCTTTGTATTTTGGGGGTGGGTAATTAGATTTATTTGTTTTGTTTGATTTTTTTTTTTTAACTGAGGTACTGGGGATTGAACCCAGGACCTCATGCATGCTAAGCACATATGCTACCACTAAGCTATATCCTCCACCCTATTCCTTATTCTTGATCTTCAGTCTTTTTACTTGGTATGCTGAGAAAAAAATGTCAGTAAATAATGGCATTTCTAGCCTGAACCATTGATGATGTAAATGTGACAAATTAAAATATAAAAATGAAAAACACTGCAAATGAATAGACTAGTATATAATGTGCTGTAGCTTAATTTGATGACTTTTTAAATTGAGGTATTACATAAATGTGGCTATATTGGAATTTAATTAAAACTGTGGTGATTTATAGATATTTTCATGAAATGGGTAGTTGAATATTTGTTTTAAATTTTGGGGTGGTGTTTGAGTTTAAGGGATATTACCTGACCAGAAATAGAACTTTGATTTCAGTTGACTAGAGACCATGTAGCTGTATAGATTTCAACTGAATTATTCACGGTGTTCAGTAAATGCTGAAGCTCTAAATGTGTCCCTTGTGACTTTTCTTTGTGAGATGTTGAACACAAACAGTGCAGTGGCTCTGAGATATAGTCTGACAAATATGCAGCCCTTCTTTTGCTCTGGTGTCACTCTCCTCCTACCTAAGTGTTCCCAGTAGGCTGAGGTAAAAACCAAGTAAGAAGTTAAAAAGGGACCAGAATAAGGAGAGAAGAAGAGGAGGAAAAATACCCATGGACAAATGTGAGCTCCTAATCATTGCCTCAGCTGTCTCTCAGTTGAATAATACGTTTACTGATGTCCCAGGTGGGATAGTTGGTCACCAAGACAAAGAGCATTTATCAGGCAAACCATTGGATTTCTCTCCTATTTAATTGTCCCTGTTGATAAATCCTAAGGATACGTTGAAAGAGTTTCTGTTTCTACTCATAAGGCAGACTTTACATCCTATTTCATCATTTTGTTTTTGGTAACCCATCTAATTCCAAGAGTTTGAGGTAGTTTAGAAATGAGGATACATATACAAAAGAAATGTTAAAGTCAGAGAGATCAAAAACCATAAAGATGGAATGAGAAGAAAATTCTATCTGAAAACCAAGATAATAATTGTACTAGAACATTAAAATTTAGTACTGTTTTCAAGCATCAGTATACTCAAACTAAATTCCAAAAAGAAACATACCAGTTAACAGTTCTTTCCTTTTAAAAAGGAACATAACAATTTTGGGGGAGAGAATCATTTTCTGGTTCTCTGTCCAAGAAAAACTTGAGTAAATCTTAAAGAACCCAGAATGATGATGAGTAGTGTCTTCAGCCGGAGTGTTGCAGAAGGTACAGAAACATTGTTCACGTGGCTCTTTCTTACATTGACCCCTAGAAATTGATGTTATATATAACCCAGTAGAAACATTTCAGTAGGAAACTGAACCAGTGGTATAGTGCTTTCTGGTGATCTAACTATGCAGGAGTAAAGCTTAAAAAAATACAGAGAAATGTATGTGTACTATTAAACTTTTTTCCCCCCAAAGAAGTTTTGTTGACTACACTTTGATAGGATTGAATGGCAGTCTTTCATGTTGAATTCTTTGGCTGTTACTAGGAATGGAGATAACACTGTATTTTTGATTGAAGCTAAAGGCTTCAGTCAGATAATAGTTCAGAGCTAATAGTTCAGAGCTTGGCTTGTTTCTGAATATCCCACTTAGTGGAGGTGGTTACAGAGATACTTATGATCAAGGCTGTTTCTTAGAGAAATTCTGGTCTTGTGCAATAATGGCCTTGATGTTTTAAGGGAATGTTTACTATTAGGATTCTTGGGCTACATAGAATCTCCTTATGGCCTTACTTAGTTAAATATCAAGAAAACTGCTCCTTGGGTGATGGGAGGGGAGAAAACATTTTTGTTTTGCTTTTTTTGAAATTGATTAATCCTAACATCCTTTTGTCTTTGAGCCAGACCGCATTTTATTCAATGACGATATAGGCATGTGTCCACAGTCTCAAAATTATTCCAAACAGCTTCTCCCTTTCCTCTGGATCATCCAATCAGTGTTTATCAGAGATTTATGGAGTACCTATTTTATATTAGGCACTGTCCCAGGTGCTGGAGATATAGGTGTAGACAAGATGGATGGAGTCCCTGGCCTGGTGGGGCTTGGAGAAGGCTCTGTGGTGAGCTGATTTTCAGTTGGTTTCAGATTGGCACAGCAAGGCCTTTACTGGTTGAAGTACAAGTCTGTTTAAAGGGCCTAGGAAGAAAGCAGGATGGTGGGTTTCACTTAACATAAAAGAAATACATGTTAGCTTTAGAATAGCCAAAAATTGCAGACGTTAAACAAGATATCATTTGTAATATTACCACCTAAAGATAATTACCCCTAACACTTTAGAGCATATAATGCTACATTTTTATATGCATATATGTATTTTTTCTTTAAGATGTAATTTACTTACAGTAAAATGCATAGATCTTAAGTATAGTTGATGAGTTTTGATAAATGTGTACACCTATGTAAACCTCACCCAAGTCAAAATGTAGAATATTGTCATCACCTTATGAAGTTCCTTCTTGCTCTTTTCCAGTAAATGCACTTCTCCCATAAGTAACTACTGTTCTGATTTCTATTACCATAGATTAAATGTGCTTGTTCTTTAATTATATAAATAGAATTATTCAGTATATACACTTTTGTCTTTGGCTTCTTTTGCATATGTTTTAAAAATTTTAACTTGTTAATGAATAATACATTTACGTGGTTCAGAAGTTTAAGTACAAGGGATATGGAGTGAGGAGTTTCATTCGCACTGCTATCCCACCAGGCACCCTGATCTCCTCTCTAAAGGCAACAGATGGTAGCAGTTTCTTTGTGTTACATCCTTTCAGAGATTTTATGTAGGTACAAGTTATATTTATATGTATAAATTTTCTTATCTCCATCTTTTGCTCAAATAATGGAACTGATTAAATATTTCATCATGAGTTGTAAAATGGTGTGATACTTTAATTCCTTTATTACTTCTGCATTTATCAGTTGGAGTTCTTCTGAAAGAACTTTCCTTTATCGGCTTTGGTTGGATGTGTATCTGAATTCATAATTATTTCCTTAGGCTTGGCTCCTAGAAATTGAATTTCTTGGGCAGGGGGTTTCTATTCTTGAAGGCTTTTTATAAATATTGCCAAATTGCTCCTAAAGAAATGATACCAGGTTGCACCTTCACTGTTGTTACATGAATGAAGTACTGTTTGCAATTTGTAGAAATAATGAGATAAAACCAGAGAGATGGGCAGCACAGTAAATGTCTTTGTCAGTCAGAACTGTCATCACTTGGCCTTTGCTTAGACATTCCTTAGACATGCTAATAAACTGGTATTGGGATAAATATAGTGTGACTTTGGAAATAACGTGTGTTTCTAGTTTGTATTCATTGAACATGTATCAATTCTGAATTTAGAAGGATGGTTAAATCATGATGTTAGTTTAAAAAACCCAACAACTTCATTTTGTAATATTTGTGTATATTAACCATGTTTCTAAATGTAATAGCCCTCTTAGCTTAAACAGTTATGAAAATCTAATATTTTTTCCTTTGCAGTGACATTTCTGGGGGCAAACCTCTGGAAGTAGAGATGTCAGGGATAGAATACATGAATGATGATCCTGGCATGGTGGATGTTCTTTATGCCAAAGTCCACATGAAAGATGGCTCCAACAGGTATGTTTCTGGAATACTTGTTTGTTTCAATGAAGAAGTGCCTAAAAGCATCCCTGGAAGTTCAGGTAGTTTTGATTCCTTTTCTTTGAGATCTTATTATTGTAAAGAGTGTGTTAAATTCTTTCTTTTTCTTAAATAGTAGGTTAACATCTTGCAAGAGGAATTTGTTGTAGGAAAAAGTATTAGACTCATAGTTTGATAATTGTCGAATTAATTTAGTGATGGATATCAATGGTACCTGTTTAGTTTTTATGGAACTCAGTGCTTCCTTCATGTTTTCTAGGATAACAGGAGGCAGGAAGGATGACATTTTAGGATGGTAGTTTCAGAAGTGACATAATGCAGATCTAGTGAATTCCAGGGCAAAATAGGGATGATAACTATACAAACGTCATAGGATTATTAAGATTAAATTAATCTACATAAAATATTTAGAGCAGTGCGTGGCACATAATACCAACATCAAAACATACATTAAAAATGTTTACTAATTTTTATCTTTGTTACTATCACACCTCGATCCCTACCGGGGATTCTCAGTCTGCAACCCAGGCTATTTCTGAGGCTAGCCTAGGCATCCAGAACCGTTTGTAATGTTAGTGTCATTTATTAGCCTTTGGTGAGCAGAAGAGCCCAACTGAATTGGGAGTTTGTTTTTGTGTGGTCCTTTCATTAGGGCAGGATTAGAACAGAGCTCATACTGAACAAGAAACCCTCTAGAGAAAATCTGTGTTTCTAGGCAGGCCCCCAAATTGATTTGCTTTCCTAGAGGATCTCTTCTAAGATTTCTGTTATCTCAGTGAGAATTGATGATCTCACTTATTTCAAATCTAAGTTCCAATGGAAGTGAATTTTGAGTGGGAAGTGAATTTTGAGTGTAAGGAAGGAAAAAATGATACGGCATCAGTTTTTTTGTGTGTGGTGTATGTCAATTATATCTCAATAAAACTGGAGGGAAAAAAGTGTGTTAATGTCACTACTAATTTCATCATAATCTTTAAGTATTGGGAAGCTGTCAAGCTTATGGTGGCAGACACACATTTTCCAAAATTCTAGTTTTCACTTGAAAGCTTGAATTTTATTATTGGCCAAAAATACTGGTGATTGTTTTCCTTGAAGCTCTTTTTTGAGGAAAATATCTGCCAAATAGCCAAGTCTGAATAACCATAATTTGTCTGTCAGTTGTTCTTTCAAGCAAAAATAGTGTTCTATGGACAAAGAGGCTAGTTCAGCTCTAAATCTAACAAGCTCACAAGTGCTTTTCCTCCAGATAGCCATCTATTTCCATATCCAGCCCAAGCGTTTTATATATATTGCCAACTTCATCACACAGAGTATTAAAAACACATGTATTCAAGGGCCGAGATTTAATAAAAATTGATCATCTTAATTAATCATATTCATTAAGGATAAATGAAATTGGCTTTTAAAATTTTTTAAACTGGATGTATAGTGAAAAATTTACTACTGCTAGTACAGTCTGCTGTTACTGCCTTCATTTGTGTTAAGGCCAACAGTTTTACCTGCTATTGCTTTTGTATCATCAAGGCAAATGTCATTACAGTGAGAAAGGCAAATAATATCATGTAACTATTATAAAAATAGTTTTGATTTCATGGACCTCTAAAAGAGTCTCAGGGACCTCCAGAGGTCCACAGACCAGACTGTGAGGATCTCTGATCTAAGTAAGATTTTATTTCCAGCCTTTACGTTTACGTGGTTTCCAGGGAGATTATGACTATCTTTTGTTTAGCACTTACTACTCTTGCCTGGCATTGTGCTTAATTGTATCATCTCTGTTTTATCTTCACAGCATCTGTGTAAGATAGATACTCTTATGCCCATTTTTTAGATCAAGGAGGTTCAGAGAGCTTAAGTAACATGACCGAGGAACACATAGATAGCAAAACCCTGCTCTGAAGCCCTGTGCCTTAAGGGTTTTCAGTGTGCGTATGCTTCGTTGAGTAGTGTAGACTGTGTTCCAATTCTTATTCCTAGAGTAAAATGGAATCTTGTGACCTATTTTTTTTTTTTGGAAAGTGGTGAAATTCCCATAACATCAATTCACCTATTTTAACCGTTTTAAAGTATATAATTCAGTAGCAGTACATACATTGAAACATTGTGCACTGTCACCACTGTCTAGTTCCAGAACATTTTTATCACCCCAAAAGGAAATCCCATACCCATCAAGCAGTCACTCTCCATTTCTCTCTACCCTGATACTTTCCTCTGCCCAGCCACTGGCAACCACTGTTCTACTCTCCCTATGGATTTGCCTTTTCTCTATTTTTCCTATAAGTGGAACCATACGATATGTGGCCTTTTGTGTCTGGCTTCTTTCACTCAGCATGTTTCCAGGTTTCTCCATATTGTAATGTATGTCAATACTCTTTTTTATGGCTGAATCATATTCCATTGTATGGCGATACCACATTTTGTTTATCTATTCATCACTTGATGGACATTTGGGTTTTTTCCACCTTGTGGCTGTTGTGAATAGAGTTGTTTTCGATTCTTTGGGGGCTGACTCACTTTTAAAATGTATTAAAGCCACTTTTTTTTATTTCCTTGATAAATCTCATAATTTTATAGGACATCATAGCCATTCAGCCTGACCTCTGTTGTTCCCTTATTCTCTGTTACTAGACTTACTTAATTTTTGTTTGTACTAGTTTAAACCTTACTTTGTTGTAAAACTAAAATCTGTGATAACCTATAGTCATGCAGTTAACATAAAGCTACATGGAAATTTTACATGGGATTACAGTGTCTCATTAGTAAAACAGTGAATTTTTCCTAATCTGGGGCTTCAAGTCTGTTTTAACATGGATATGCCGTAGAAGCCACAGTTTTGATTTACCCTATTGGTGGCCCCAGGGAGGAAAAGAGTGGTCATTAGGAGAGGGTGACAAAGTCATCATATGTTTCCATTGGATATGTTTAATAGCTAGACCCTTTATTCTTAGAAGGTCTTTCAACTGTAGAGAATAATTGATTTTTGAAATTAGAAGAAAAATAAGAGCCATAGAAGACAGATGTCTTTGGAAGACAGTGCTCAGACATACTTTATATCCTCATTTACAAAAAGATAAGAGCTCAGAAAATGAATACATCCTTTATTTCTCCACAGATCCAGCCCTTACACATTTTGCACACTTCCTATTGTCAGAGTCTTATAAGTTGAAAAGTCTTGTGAAATACTGACTGAAGGCACTAATAGATCAACCAAGAACATTTTAAAATAATTCTCATCTCTCTTAATGCTCTGTTTTCTCTTTTCCCATTTCTCCTCCACAAGAAGAGACACGTTTATATTACTTCCAAAAGATTTATAAATTCCCCTCCCCATATCTGCAGTGGCTAAGGGACTTGTACACTTTTTATTTAATTCAGTGTTGAAACTATTTGAATGTCTATGTGCAAAATATTTTGCTAGGCCATGTAAATTGATGCAGAATCGAGTAAGATATGGCCCTGTTTTTAAGGCACATTCAATCATTTATGTTTCTTTATGATGGGGGAGAGGCCATGTTGTAATAAGAACACACTCAACATTTTTTGTGTGATTTCATATATTTTAAATCAAAGATTCCCTTAAAATGTTTGACTGTGGAGTGCCTGACCTTTAAAAGGGTGGAACCACTTAGATCAGATTTTTCCTCTAGAAGCAGAGCTGGGACAGTGTAGCTACACTTATCAGTGCTTCCTTGGGTTTGGTAAAGCCTGTCTGGGTGAGGGATTTGCATTCAACCTTTTTATTCCTTACTTAGTAGTCAGCTGTTGCTAAGGCTTAAGCATTGAACACAGTGAATGCAGTGGCCATTTTATTCTGTCTGTTACTCTCGCAGGCCTCTACCCTTGCCCCTCTCAGAAGTATGGCTTCCTCACATTATCCTGAGAACATGAAACCAACTCAGCTTCCTTCCTTTTTCCCTCACAGTCTACCTGTTTTCATCACGCACACCCCACTCTTTCTAAAGAATGGCATAAATTCTCTCTGATGAGACTAATCTCTTTACTTATTCTCAGGACCCCATCCCTTATGATCTCCTCAAAGACCTGGCACCATTGGTTATTCCCCCCTGCAGGGCATTTCCAGTCCCCTTTCCGTCAGACAGTTTTCAGGCACCCAGAATGAGAGGTGCAGTGGACCCTAGGGCTTCTCTTGTATGGAGGGGCAGATGTCAGGAACTAGAGCACATGAGCGTGAGGGCTGTGATTGAGATTCTAGGGGATTCAAGGAAGGCTTCAGAGAGGAGGTATCTTTGCTGAATAAGGAGTTTGCAGGCTGAGGGAGTAGCATGTTAGGAAAAGGGAATAAACACAAGTGCAGATCTAGAGACACTGTTATTTACCATGTAAAAGGAAGTTTGATTTTCATTTGGTCATTTGTTTATTCAACAAAACTTTATTAAATGCCTTCTGTGTGCCAGGCACTGTGCTAGACTGTGAATTAAGAATGGTGAGTAAAACCAGACACCCAGTTATTGCCCCCAAGTAGTTTACAGGCTAGTGGAGAAAACAGCCGTTAACAAATAACACATAAATATATCATCACAAAGTGTGATAAATGCAAAGTGGGGAAAAATGGTGCCCTTTTAAAGACGAAATATGGCAATTTAGACTGTGTAAGGCAGTGTTAAGGGAAGCCTCCCTGAGGAATTGATGGTGAATTGAGACCTGAAGGAGTGGGAGTTTGTCAGCAAAGGAAGTTCTAGGCAAAAGAAAATGCAGATTAAAAACCCTGTGGCAGGAAAAAGCCTAGCAAATTCCAGGCATGGATGAAGCATAGTGAGGGAGAGGTAGGGTGACCTGAGATGGCCACGTGAAGAGATCAGAGAGGCCTGGATTGAGGCAGTAGCAGTAGATGAGAGAAAAAAGAATAAATACAAGCAGAATAGATAAAAGAAACCCATATCAAGATAAATCAAGATAAATAAACAGAACTGCAGAACACTAGAGAAGAAGTCACCTACGAAGAATTGACATTTATAAGG